AGATGCACCCCCGACGGACGCAGGACGGGCAGGGTCAGAGACCAGAGTAGTAGCGTAGTCAAGGCGGTGGGTAGAGGCGAAGTCAGCGACAGCAGCGACAAGCGCGTCAAGGCGCGAGGCAGGAACAGACGGGTCTGTAACAAGAGAGGCAAGGACCCGAGGGACGAGGTAGTCAGACAGCGGGGGACGTGCAACAACAAGCGACGAGGGAGGAGGCGAGGGGAGGAGGGGGGGACGAGACGAGTGAGAACGGAGTAACATAGGGTGGGAGCGAGGGACAAGGGAGACAGGACGAGCACGCGAGGGACGGCGAGACCAAACGTGGGACGGAGGTGTAGGGTCTAGAGACAGCGAAGGGGACACAAGAGGGGAACGAGGAGGAAGACGGGCCGGAGAAGAGTCCGGGGGCGGGAACACAGGGCCGTAGACAGGAAGGTGAGGAGGAGGTGGGGGAGACGTCGGCACGCGGTTGGGGGAGGGAAGGCCGAGCAGGCGAAGAGCGGAGACCGGCGGCGACAGCTGTGGCGGCGGCGACGACGGCTGGGTCTCGACCTGCGGACCGGTAGGGGCACGACGACCACCGGGAGAACACTCAACGGCAGCACCCCCAGAACCAACACCCCCAGAGCGAGAACCCCCTCCAACACCAGCGGCACCCCCAGGCCCGCCGGGACAGACCACGCCAGGAGCCGCAAGACGAACACCCTCCTCAACGCCAGCACCCCCAGAGGCCAAGAGCGGCAGCTGCGGCGGCGGCGGCGGCTGCGACGGCGGCGACTGCGACAGTGGGGGCGAAGACACCGGGGAAGGGGGGCGTGGCAAGGACGGACCGGGGGACCACCAAAGTCAGCAGACTCCTCCACGGGGACAACCGAAGGGAGGGGAGTGACGTGGGAGACACCAGACGGGGCAGGACGAGGCGGGAGGGGAGGAGGGGCTACCGGTGGAGGGGGAGCAAGGAACAGGGGGGAGGGAAACCGCGAGACCTCGGTGAGGGAAGCGACGGTAGAAGGAGACAGACTCGTCAAAGGTGACGTCACGAGAGTGGAGGAAGCGGTGAGACTGCGAGTGGTAGAAGAGCCAGTCAGACGAGTCCAGGGGGAAACCAAGGAAGGCACAGGGGACAGTGCGGGCACTGAGCTTGTTCGTGCCAGAGGCACGAACGTGAGCAAGGCAACCCCAGACGTGGAACACAGACGCGTCACTGGGGGACCCGGTCCAAAGGAGGGTCGGCGAAACCTGCGGCCGCTGGGAGCGTGGCCACAAGTTAAGCTGGTGAGCGGCGTAGCGAACGGCGAACGGCTACAAAAAATGGGGTGCACCGGCATGGATCATGGAGGTACGAGCCACCTCCATGACCAAACCGATGCGTCGCTCAGCGACCCCATTCTGCTGTGGCGAGTCCCACAAGGTGTACGACTGGGTGATGCCCTCCGCATGACAGAACTGTCCAAGCCGACTAGAGGCGAACTCGCCGCCACGGTCAGAGTGGAGACACAACACGGGGAGACCGCGGTGAAGACGCGCAGCCACAACCCACGGGAGAAGAACGTCGGGCACGTCGGCCTTCCGCTCTAGGGGAAACACCGTGGTGTAGTGCATGTAGTTGTCAACAAGCACAAGAAAGTAGCGCTCACCGCGCGGACCGGGGACGGGGGTTGGGCCCCAAACGTCCAGGTGCAGGGTCTGAAGGGGGGCAGTAGCAGGGCGAAGCGAGGAGGAGTGAGGGGCACGGCGGAGCCGGCCCTCTACGCAAGGCGTGCACGGTGGAGCAGGCGAGGGGGGAAGGGCGGGGAGCGACGCGGGGAGGCCTAAGACAAGACCGTGCTGGGACATGTGACGCAGACGCGGGAGAGCAGGGTGACCTAAGCGGTGGTGCCACAAAAGGGATGGGTGAGTAAGGGACCGACACGAGCAAGCTGCAGCGACCTGGGAGGACGCACCAACCGGGGGGGAAGCGGTGTCGAGGGTAAACAGACCAGACACCGGGTCCCCTGGGAACGTCGCAAGGGGGGAACATGTGATAGCCTCAGTACAGACATCGAACCACTCGTGCCCACGGAACGTAGCGGTGACGCCGAGGTCCTGAAGACAGCCGATACCAACCAGGTTCCTGGAGAACGAGGGAACGTGGAGGCCTGTAAGGGAGCCCGAGGGAACGGCGGGATAGGGAAGGGAAGTGGAGCTGCGAGCGACGACGGGACCCGCAGAGGGGTCAGCGAGAGTGACAACAGCCGGCGCAGCAAGCGGCATGAGCGTGGAGCGGTCGCGAAAGAAACAAGCAGAAGCACCGGAGTCGAGAGTGAAGGACAGCAAAGCAGTAGCGGAGGCCGGGAACGGAGCCAGTGCAGAAACTAAGCTAGGCAAACTAGGCAGTCCTACGCCTGACGCAGCAAAGGAGGCTAAGCTACACAAGGGTGATACACCTAAACTAGAGTACACAGGGTAATAGGATCCAGCAACACTAGAAGCGTCAGCATACAAGGCATGCAAAGCAGCACCTATCTGATCCATATCTAACTCAAAGATCGGCACGCCCTGGCGAAGCAGGCTGTGCCAGTCGGGGAGGTCCGGGGCCGGGCCGAAGCGATGACGAAAGAGACCGTCGAGGCGGCGGAAACAGCGAGCGGTCAGGTGCGGGCGGCGGCACAGAGTGCCGCGGAGGGGCCCGGTCTGAAGCTGGTACTGGCAGGTCACGCCAACGGAGCTGCCGGTAGACACCAAGCTGCGGGTGCCGCCACCACGGCCACCACCGACGGAGGTGCCGGGCCAACCCGGTGGGAGACGAGCCCACGACGGGGGCTGGGATAGCTGCTGCGACGACTGCGACGACTGCGACTGCTGCGATGGCTGATGCTGCTGCTCCTGCTGCTGCTCCTGGCTAGCTGCGGCAGTCCCCTCAATAGAACCACTGTCTCCGGCACCACCACCACTACCAGCTCCACCACCACGCCCTCCCTGGCGGCCACGGCCAGCACGACGCTGGCGCTGCTGCGGGTGGACCGCAACTGCAGTCTTGGTCAGGGGGGTCGCAGTGGCGACCGCAGCCGAAACGTCAGTAAACGTGCACTGGGAGGGGGCACAACTGTGAAAGATAGAGACTGCCGGCGCACCGCTCGACTGAGAGATAGTGCGCTGGCGAGTCTCGATCTCGGTCAGGGCGGTGACAAAGGCTGTCAGGGTGAGATCACTTGGGTGCTGGCTAAGGATGTGGTCGCGGGCACTAGCAAGGCGGTCAGGCAGGCGCATCGCGATAAAGTAGAGGGTCATGCAGAAGGGGGCAGGGAGCACTGTGAGCTGGGCAGCAGTGCTAGCAGTGCGGTAGCGAGACTCTAGGGCGCGCAGGTGAGTGGCAAGGTCAGCAACAGTAGGGAAGGAAGCAAGGTCTGGGAAAAGCATAGGGAAGAGCAGGCGGCCTGCAGTAGCGGAGGCAGGCGTGGAATAGCGAGCAACAACAGCATCTAAATAAGCCTTGGCTGTATCAGCTGTAGCGAAACGCGAACGCTCAGACACAGGGAGGGCATCTAAATAAGCCTCAGCAACTGCATCGCGGGAGTCCCAGACAGCACAGGCAAGTGCAGCAGCAGAGAAAGCCTCACTCTCAGTAGAGGTGGGGGCAGCAGGGAGGGGAGCAGGCTCAGGGGGGCGGGGGAGCTAGCCATCAGCATGGACAACCAAGGAATGCCCATCCTGGCGCTGACCTGTGAGCTGACGGCGGAGGTCGGACAGCCAGGCGGCGAAGTCAACAGCGTGGCCCTCAGCGTCCAGACGGAGGACGAAGTCAGCCATCGTGCAGAGTCAGCGACACAGGGACACAGCGGCACAGCTCCACAAGACACAGCAGCACAGGGACACAGCAGCACAGCTCCCGGAGGACGTCTGCAAGACGCTCCAGCACGGGCAAGCAGAAGTCACTGGGCCGGAGAGTCGAGGAATCGTGCCGAGCAGAAGACACGGGGCCGCAGGAGCCGGGCGTGCACTGGGAGCTGTGGGCCTCAGGAGCCGGGCGGGCGTGTCGAGGCCAGGCTGGCGCTAGGAGGGGCCGGTCAGCGCTGGGAGGGGCCGGGGGGGGGGAGGGGGGGCAGGAGGGGCCGGCCGGGCAGGCGGTGTGGGACGGGCGGGCGCAACAGGCCGAGTGGGCGCTAGAAGGGGCCGGGCGGCCGCTTGGAGGGGCCGGTTAGGAGCGAGCGCGAACGGCCAGGGGGGCGGCTAGGAGCAGGCGCGACGGCCAGAGGGCCAGCTAGGAGCGGGCACAAACGGCCAGGGGGGCGGCTAGGAGCGGACACGACGGCCAAGGGGGCCAGCTAGGAGCGGGCGCGAACGGCCAGGGGGCCGGCTAGGAGCGGGCGCGACGGCCAGGGGCTAGCTAGGGGCGGGCGTGAACGGCCAAGGGGCCAGCTAGGGGCGGGCGCGAACGGCCAGGGGGCCAGCTAGGGGCGGACGCGACGGCCAGGGGGCCGGCTAGGGGCGGACGCGACGGCCAGGGGGCCGACTAGGGGCGGACGCGACGGCCAGGGGGCCAGCTAGGGGCGGGCGCGACGGCCAGGGGGCCAGCTAGGGGCGGACGCGACAGGGCGGGCGCTAAGGGCAAGGTGGGGGGGCGAGAGACTAGGGCGCGGGCGGAAGCGGGCGGGTGGACCTAACCTACTCTGATACCATGTTAGAAAGGAAGAATGATTGACTAGTGTGAGAAACCTATAACATATACCTGTTTGGGTTGTACTCACTAGAAGCACACACCTAGGCTAGCCTGTAACTTCTACATACATACAGCATATGTATAAGATGACATGGAGGTCATTCTTCCTCCACCCACGTTTTTCATTTTTCCCAGCTCAAGTTCAATTCCCGCCCATCCAATCCAACCCACTTCGTCGACCCTCGACAACATGCACCGTTTCGGTTGATCATCCTGGGCATAGACATATCCTTCCCACTGTAGAAATTTCATGTTGATGTAGGAATATATTGGGAACTCTTTGTACTTGATGCCAGTGGAATGAGAAGTAGCAAGCTTTCTCAATGGAGAGCAATACAAACTGCAACGCAAAGTTGGACCATCAAAGCTACATAGTTTGGCAACCCGTCTGCAGCCACAACACACAGAAGCCTGTCATGCAAACCCTATCAGCACTCAGCTACTGCGAAGACACGCACTGTGTGAGGGCTACCCCTTTCCTGCTCCTGCTGCTGCTGCCGCTGCTCCTGCAGCGCCTGAGCAGCAGAGTCCTCCCCCTCCCCCACTGGCTCCGACTTGAACCGCCACAGCATCTTCTTCAGCACACTCCTCTTGCTCCTCACACCCTCCTCCTGCCCCCTCACACTGCCACTCCTCACACCCTCACACCCCGCACCATCACCCCGCATGCTGCCATCGCCCCCCTCACCAACCTCCCCTGCTTTCACCAAAGCTTGCCTTCTTTCCACAGCCACCCACTCAGCTTCAGCCTCGATGACACTCCAGTCCACCAGAACATTATCGCTGCTCATACTCCTATCAGCAGACTCTCTACTAGACAAGGACCGCCCCTTTCCCAACAGTGAGCCCCTCTCTGACACCTCCCACACCTTAACTCCTGCCTTGGCCCCGCCCGAGCCTCCAGCCGCCAAACCACTCCTTGGTGAGGGTCTCCGAGCCTGCACTGTGGCCCCGAGCCTCCCAGCTTGATTTGGTGAACCGAGCCCTCCAACTTGGCTTGGCATACCATGCCTCTGAGCTGGCACTGGTGCACCGTGCCTGCCGTTCCCGAGTCGCGACGGAAGCTCCATTGCAACTGGGCTCCCTGCTAGGTCCTCATATGCCTCCTCTGCCGCATCTGCAACGGCTAGCTCTGGCAGCGATGGGGAGAAGCGGTGGAGCGATGGCGTCCTGGGCCGGCTGCCAGGCAAGCTGGCAGTGGAAGGCGGCAACATCATCTGCAGCTGCTGCGCTCGCTGCATGGCCTGCTGCATCTGCCTCACCTGCTCTGCATGCTGCCCGCTCTGGAGCTGCATGTGCTGCGTGTGTGGAAGCTGTGGCGACACACTGCCACCTGCAGCAGGGGAGTCGCAGGGGGACCGAGCAAACCTGGAAGCGGAGGGCGCTCGGGGCGTTGGGGGTTTCTCAGCTGGAGGGCGGTCGGCTGGGGGGCGGTCAATTGGGGGTCGGTCAGGCAGGGCGGCGGATGAGAGGTGATTGCCCGCCGGGGAGCTGCTAGCTTGCACCCCGGGCAGATACTCGGTCAGCACCGAAAGAGAGTTGCTCCTGCGATGGAAGCCCCGGGCAGGTTTCCGGGCAGACCCAGGCTTGGCGGGGGGAAAGGGAGGAGCGTGGGAGGCGGAGAGGGGGGAAGCAGTGTGGGAATGGAGGGTGGAGGAAGTGGGGGAGTGGGAGGCCTGGGTGGGGATAGTGGAGAGGGGGGAGGCGGAGTAGGAGTGGCGGGCGGAGGAAGCAGGGGAGTGGGATGCTTGTGAGGGTATGGCGGAAGGAGAGGGGAGTGAGCGGAAGGAATCTGAGAATGAGGCGGGAGGGAGGATGGAGAGGGAGGAGTAAGAGGAGGAGTGAGAGGAGGAGTGAGAGGAGGAGTGAGAGGAGGAGGAGGGTTGAAAGGAAGAATGATACACGGAACCTGGTGTGAGAATAGCCGGTGCAACGTCACTCGCCACAATCTGTGGTGGCATGGGAAGCCCCTGCCCAAATGCACTGGGGGTACTTTCCCTATTTGCAGAGTAAACCACCCCGGGAACCAGCACAGGGGCGCATGGCGACGGGGGACCACGCCCGCGTACGTGCGCTCCTGACTCTATGGGGGGAGCACCGCAGTGAAATCCACCCCCCCCTCCTCCTCCCCCCTCTCTATGGGGCGTGGGAGCATCGTAGAGGGGCAATGTGACTCTATCGACTCGCATGCCATCCGCAAATATCTCGGCGAAATCCAGCCTCTCCCCCTCCAGCGGCACGGAATCTTCAGATCCTGCCACGTCAGCGCTGCCGTCCAGTGACGGAGCACGGGGCGGCAGATCCGACCTGGAGGCAACGGAGCAAGGTGATTGCAGCGGTACTGACTCTGACGATTCGGAGTTTTCGCGGCTGGCACGTGACCTAGGAACTAAGCTAAAAGCGTACTTAACATGCGCCTCCCCCCCCGCTGCCTCTCCGCCCGTCTCTTCTCCCGTTTCCTGCCCTCCCGCCGCTGCCTCCTCCTCTTCCCTCTGCCGCTCCCCCCCGGGCGCGGGCCGCGCGCGCGCGGATTGGCGGCGGGTCTCGTCCGCTTCCGCGCCTTCCGCGGGCTGTGCGGCGGCGAGGCAGGTGAGGTCAATGTTGTCGATGCGCAACCCGACGGCCTCCATGCGCCGACACTGCTGCTCCAAGGCTGGGGGGGAGAGGGGGGAGAGGGGGGAGAGGGGGGAAATGTGTGGGAGAGAGGGAGGGGCGGGAATGACGAGCAAGGGACGCGCGCCACTCTCTCGCTCGATCCGCAGCCCCTCCAACCTTATGCGCCGACACTGCTGCTCCAACGCTGGGGGGTTGGGGGGGTGGAGGAGGGAGTTTGGTTGGGGCGGGGGGGAAAGGGGGGGGGGGAATGGGGAGCGGGGGGTAGTAATGAGCGGACGGGGCAAGAGTGCGTTTAGAGCACGAGCATGACGCGCGTGAGGGCAACTCTATGCAGGGATGCGCAGTCTATGCATTAATCGCCTCCATCTGATGCTCTCTCACGACGGCATGCGAGCATGATGGTGAGCAGCCCGACCGCCTCCGAGGCCCGTCCTCACCTTCCCAGCTGTCGTCTTGCGACGCCGTTCGCACCACCAACAGTCGCTTGGTCGGTGCGGCCCCGCCGGGGCCGCGGCCCCCGCTTCCCGCCACCGCCGCCGAGCCGCCGTCCACGCTGCTCGACCGCTGCATGCCGCCGCCGCCGCCGCCGCCGCCGCGCCTCGCGCGATCCGTCGGCATTGCCAGCCCCGCCCGTTCCGTTCCGTCCGACGGCGACATTAGTCTGCTGAGCGGGCGGGAATCGGCGTTGACTGTCCGCCTGACGCCGCAAATGTCGCCACCACCGCCGCCGCCGCCGGTGAAGGCGTCGATATCGGCCCAACGAATGGGCGCGCCCGCCATGATGGTGTCGACCGTCGACCGTCGACCGCCCCGTCGAACCGCCGGCCCTCGGCGCGCCGTGCGGAGCGTGCGACACGGAACAAAGGCCGCGTCACGCTGACTCTTGTAGAAATAACGGAGTCGCTAACCCAGTGGGTGTCAAGACAAGGCTCGTCGTTCCTTTGCGAAACGAGAAGAAAAAGCTCGTGAGCCCTGGAAACGAGGGAGTGTTGGTGATCGCGGGTCCTGTCCTGGAGGTCACGCCACGACACCGAATGGTCGTAGTGTTACAATACAATGCTACCTGCTCTATCGACCCGAATGCGTCAACTCTCTAGGATTTGCGCCTTCTATCTGACCGTGCTTGCCAGCTCAACACTCTGCGCATGTCACTCACAGTCGGACCGTCGGGAGGTTCCCGACGAGACGAGACGAGGGATCGAGACCAAAAGCGTGCATGACTCGGCCGGCTTTCCTGTGTTCGTCGCAAGCCACCTGTGGGCGATTGGTGCTCTGGGAGGGCTCGACGAGAAAGGAGCGACGTGAGTCTCGCGAAGGGATGGAGAGGAGAAGGCTTGCTGCTGGCAGTGGAGGAAATCCTCGATGCTGCAGCAGGGTGGAGTGGAAGGGGAGGAAAGGGATGGGATGCGTGGTACTGTACGGTGTAAGGGAAAATGGACAGTGACAGTTGAACTGAGACAAAGTTGCAGAGCAGGTAAGTAGGGGAATGCGGCTTCTGTAGCGTACAGTAATACTTAATTTCCGAGGCGCAGTTAGCTGCTCCGTCCTTGCAGATGTGGTTTATGTTGAGCCTCTAGAAGGTTTGTTCCAAAGTGGTAAAAGACGATCGGTATCGGTACACTGAGTTAAACCGTGGTCTTATGTGGTGGTCAGCTGAGCAGTGCGGTGCGGCGTCCCGATTGATTGTAGGCCTGCTGTGCCATGCATGGCACGGCACCCCAGCTGCCCTCCGGCCTGGCGCCGTGTGAGAACGTGTACTGCAATTGGTCGAAGGCATTGCCGAAGCGAAAGGGTAGGTACGGACAGCTTCTTGGTGGTGGGCGGAGCAACGGTAGGGTGCACACTGCACAGCAGGGCTCACGCTAAGGTTTTTTGGAGCTCTGTTTCTCCCGGATTCCCCACCCCCCTGCACCCTGATTCGTCCGGATTTCAGGGTAGTTGATTTCTGTTTCATCCGGTTTCGGGTACAAAGTTACTTTTAGCCGAGTTACAGCAAACATAGACTCGGACATGTCACGATGTTCAAGGTCGAAACAGGGTAACATTTGCGGCGTGTAAAAAAAGAAGTACTTTTGGATTTGCTACGTTAAGAGTGTTAATTTCTTCCGCCAGTTTCTGACAAACCCGCTAAGTAGGGTAGAATCTGTGTCAGCAACCTTCACAACTTTCTGGGTTGCGAGAAGGGGAAAGAGGGGAACGTGGCTAAACGTTTTTAGCCAAGTCTTCCTAGCTGCGTAGGCGTGCGGGGCTGTAGGAGGAATTTGCCAGTCTGTGAGGGCCACCAAATATTCTAGGTTTAGGGTGGCCCGGGTGGGAAGAGTCTCTCTGTGTAAAACTCTCTTTGTGTAAGGGAGACTTAGCCAAATTCTCTATGCTATAGGGTAAAGTCAGGAATGTTCCTGCAATGAGGATTAGCCGAAATTTATAAGTTTCGTGGGTGTGGGTAGGAGGCCTATCTCTATTTGGGAGGGACTTAGCCGAATTCCTCTATGGTCCATGAAGGAATGTTCCTGGCTGTGACAAACTTAGCCGAAAATTCTGGGTTTCGGGTGGTGCGGGTAACAGGAGTACGGTATGTCTGTGTGTGGGGGACTTCGCCATTTTTGTTTCGTTGCGGGGTGAAGGAAGGAATACTGCTGGAAGTTGGGGACTTAGCCGAATTTTCTGAGTTGTGCGGGTGTGGGAGGAGTTATAACTGTGTGTGAGGGACTTAGCCGAATTTCCTGGGTTCGGGGCTCCGTGCGATTGCTTCTGAAAGTTGGGGACTTGTAAAATGTCTTTGCCACCCTGGGTGCGAGGAGGGGGGAAAGGGAGGGTGGGGGGGGGTGTATTTGTTGGCAGTTGCAGCCGGATTGCCCCCCCAGCGAATTCTGATCTGCCCGGAGCCCCCCGTAACGCCACTTCTATAAGTTCCGGAAACAATGATAACTCGACCTGTTCAAATTCCGGAACGAGCCCAGCGCAAACTCTTAATTGTTTTTTTCATTTCGAGTAAATTACCCTTAAACAATAGGCCCTGCTGCACAGCTGTCTTGTGCTGTTCCGGTTTGGATTGAACCAATGGACGTGAAGATTCAGGCATGGATGCCCTGGCGGAGCCGAAAGAGGATTCTGTAGTGCTAGAATTTGATGGACGCGTGACCACTCGCGCTAGTGCTTGGTTCTTTCGATCCGTGCGAGGATATTCTTCCTGGGCCTGAGCTGACCGATCAACGGCATCCAAACAGCGGATTGCCAGCAGTGCCTATTGTTCAAGGGTTGTCGCCCTAAACTTGAGTCAAATAAAAGGCATTGTTTTAGCTATCCCCACCAATTAGGTGTGGAATGTTTATGAATCCGGCGATTACGGGTTGATTGAGAGTGCAGCACTAGAGATTAAGAGCATATCATTTTCCTACCCTGAGTGTAATATTAGTGCTGGTAGGGCTACAGGGGGGGATCTCCATGGAGGAACAACTAAGATTTTTGTTGTTCCCCCCTCACAGCACGTACTCACACCAAGTGACAAACAGAGGGGAGATAACTCCCTTCCAATATTCTCGTCCATCTCCACAGCACTTTTCTCACACCTGGTAGTCACAAACAGAGGGGAGACAACTCCCTTAGATTTTCGTTCTTCTCCTCACAGCACGTACTCAACCTTGTAGTCGCAGAGGGGAGACAACTCCCTTAGTAGATTTTCGTTCCCCCCCCCACAGCACGCTACTCACACCTCGTAGTCACAAGCAGACGGGAGACAACTTACTAAGGGGATTTTCGTCATTTTTCCCTTAGTCCAATGCACATTACTCATGCCCTTTTCGTCTTGCCCATACATCTCCTGGTAAATTCTAACCGTGGCAGTGGAAAGGGTACTGCGCAAACGAGCTCTAATTATTGAAGGTTTATTTTTTCTGGACCCTGATAATTAAGGACAAAGTCTGAAGGAGCTCGATTGTTTTAGGATGACTAAAAACCAAAAGTAAGCCCTGATTGCCAGCTAGCATGTGCGACTGCCAGCTTGCGGATTGCCATCTGAGGCGGCCAAGCAGGGGTAGTTTGTCTTTTTGTAGACCTGATACAATGTACCAGATGCAAGACAAACCTTTTCACAATTTCACAGAACAAGCCTCGTGTATAAACTTCAAGTTCGTACATGTAAACTTAACTTTCGTGATTGCAAAAACGAGACACCCCCCACAGACACCTCTACCCCCGTTTGTGGCTCTTGGTGGCAAGTGGGGGTGAGATGGAAGAACAGATGCCAAGTGTCATCCCACTAGCGGGCCCACTTTGTCGGAGCTCCATGTGGATAGGGTACCGTCAGCAGATTCCATCCGAACCCTCCACAACGCCACCTCCGCACGCATCACACACCTTTCCGCAGACCCACCCCCTCTAAAAGCCTTCTTTGCCGTCGATATCTCCGGATCCCATGACGTCCACGGTTGAGATCTTCCATTCCGGAAGTACCCAATCCCAAGAAACGCACACACTCAGCAACTCTGCGACCAATGCTCATCCACCCGCTCTTCACCTCTCTCTCTCCCCTCCCACTTCCTCTCTCCCCTGTCTCGGACGCCCCCTCCGCCTCCACTCACCCATCCCAACCTTTCCCCACCCCTCTCACTCGGCACGGGCCATTCTTGAGCAAGACTGTTTTTTTTGGCTTGAGGGCCATCTATGCTGCTGTTGCTCCCCTCCTAGTCTGCTGCTAGGTCGTAGCCTCGGTATCTTCACATCTTCGATAATGGCTGCCGTCGCTGCCTCCGCTATGGCGTCTAGCCTCACCGTCAAGGGCCTGAACGGCTCCTTGGTTTCCGGCAAGAGCCTTCGCTCCGCCGCGAAGCTTCCTTCCGTCGTTAGCGCCGCTAGGCTCGTTTGCGACGCTAGGGAGAACAAGGCCGTCGCCAGCCCTGCGACGATCGCATCCGCTGCGTCGTCCGTCGTCGAGAGCGTTTTCGGCGAGAAGGCGACGAGGCAGATGCAGTACTCTGCGATCGTTGCGATGAATGCGATGATCGCGATGCCAGCTTTCGCGGAGGAGGAGAAGGGCAAGATTTTCGACTTCAACCTGACTCTCCCCATCATCACCGTCCAATTTCTCCTCCTTATGGTGCTCCTCGATAACGTCTGGTTCAAGCCCGTCTCCAAGGTCATGGACTCCCGCGACGAGGACATCAGGAAGAAGCTCATCGGCGTGAGGGACAACTCCGGCGAGCTCAAGGAGCTGCAGAGCCAGGCTGAGGCTTTAATTAAGACCGCTCGCGCGGAGGCATCCGGGCAGATGAACAAGATGAAGAAGGAGGTGGCTGCTGAGCTGGACGCGAAGCTTCAGGCGTACCGCGCGAGGATCGAGAAGGAGCTCGAGTCGTCGCTGGCGAACCTGGCGACGCAGAAGGAGGCGACGCTGAAGAGCCTCGACTCGCAGGTGTCGGCTCTCAGCGACGAGATCGTGAACAAGGTCATTCCCTTCAAGGCGTAAGCAACGCCTAAGCAGGCTGCTTCAATGCCTGAGGCTGCATGGAGTGCTTTATGGTGGTGACCATGGAGAGACGTGATTTGGCCTAATGAGGCTTCCTTTTTAGCCTTATGCTTCATTACGGCCTGTTTGTTTACTTATTCGTCGATATTTACTATTAGGCTGCTACTTGCTGTTTTGAAGCCATGACTGAGTTCTAGTTGATCGTTCTAGTGTTCGAACAGGGAGAATCTGTATGTACATGCTGTGACCCCTGCAACATGGCCATGAAAAGCCTGCATTATTTCTGAATACTGCATAGGATCAGGCAACTCGAATGCAGACCTGAAGCTGCATTGCATGCAAATGCAGCAATCAATGGGTTAATAAAAAAAACGTCCTGCATCAAGGCTTCTCTCATCGGTACTCCCTACACTACTCGTCCACCTACAGCATCCAGAGCAGCTACAGTGGCTTTAGCCTGCAGCTTGCCCTGCTCCCTGAATGCCTCGACCATGGCTGCCCCCACAGCCCTCCCCACCTCCTCGCTGTCCACCACTGCCACGGCAGTGGGCCCCGCGCCACTGATGGTGCACCCATACGCCCCCGCTGCCTTGGCCGCCACCTTCACTGCCGACATGCCGGGAATCAGAGGCGAGCGCCGCGGCTCCACTATCGTGTCGGAGGCTGCTTGTAACGAGGATGACAGGAGGCGATGTGGGGAGGGACAGAAAGTGGTGGGTGTTCCTTGGGCATCGAGAATAATCGAGCAAGAACAAGAATGCGACTTGAGACTTGAGAACAGCAAGGAGTGACTGGGATGGGAAGGAGGAGACAAGAGCAGGTTCGATGAGACGGAGAAGAGCAGGTCAAAATGGGACAGCTGCACTCACCGAGAGCGGCACCGAGCAGGCGAGGGTCGGCAGTGTTGATGGCATGGATGAGTGCCGCTGCCTGGCTGCTGTTGGCCACATGCGATGCCATCGTGATCTGCTCACATGCCATGCCATGGTGTGCGTTGCAACGTCATGCCACACATGCCAGGGGACACAATGCAGCCCACATAAATGTGCATTAAATGACAGTACAATGTTAACCCCTCATGTCAACCTCTTTCTTGCTGTGATAACCAGCACAGCAACTCATGCCATGGGCCAAGCCCCTCCTCGGCACGCGCACTCACCTCCTTTGGCAGTGCTGCTCTCATCTCCTTAGTCGGTGCCTCAAACGCCGGCGTCACCACCACAAAGAACAGCTTCTTGGCCCCGTCTCCGCTCCCCCCCCCAAACGCCAGGGGGATGAGGTGCAGCGGGCGGTACGACCGCACGAGCACAAACCCCCCCATGAGCGCCGGGGCGACATTATCCGCGTGGTAACCGCTCACGGCGGCCTCGGACTGTAAACCCGCCAGCACGAGCTGCGCCTTGGAGAGCGGCGAGCCGAAGAGCGCGTTCACCGCCACCGCTGCAGCGGCAGCACTGGCCGCGCTGGAGCCTAAACCACTTCCCAGCGGCAAACCCTTGTTCAGAGTCAAGCCGATCACAGGGAGATCGGATTTGGATTCTGATCCTGTGCCGCTGCCCTTGCCGTCTGGTCCGTAGAGGCCGAGCAGCTCCATGGTGGCCCGGGCAGCGATCCCGATGCAGTTGGTGGTGGGGTCCAATCCCAGCCGTCCGTTGTCGCCCTCGATGCGCTCGATGATGATGTTGCCCGAGGGGGGCGCAGGGACGTCCAGGATCTGCGGGAGGAGAGGAGAGGCAGCAGAAGGGAAAGGGAATGGAGGGGCAGAGGACAGCAAAAGTAGATCTGGGACAGGGAGAAAGGGAATATGCCCTCGATGTGCTCGATGCAGATATTGCCCGCCGGGGACCAGGGGGGAGGGGACGTCCAGTATCTGCATTGGGGAGGCGCAGGAGAGGGGGAGGGGGAAGAAGGGAGGGGAGAGAGGGACTCCTGGCATCGCTGAAGGAAGATGGGGGATGGAGAAGAGAGTTGCTCAACCAGACAACACCTACCCGAGGGGATGGCACGTTTTTCCCAGGTAACACCTCCCCACGCCATGGGCACCTCTTCCCCAGTTAACGCCTACCTGAGCAAATGACTTCTTTCCTCAGATAGCACCTACCCGCGCCGTGACGCGGTCGACCAGGCCCTCCACGGCGCATCCCAGGAGATGCAGGGCGGGGAGGAGATTTTTGAGTCGACTCAAAAATCATTTTCAGATACAGGGGGGGAGGGAGGAAAGGGGTACGGCGGAGAAGAGGTGGCAGGAGTCAGGTCAGGGCTCCTCTTTCCCCACATAACACCTACCCGAGCCAATGCCACCTCTTGTCCAGATACCACCTACCCGCGCCGTGACGTGGTCGCCCAGCCCCTCCACGGCGCATCCCAGGAAATCGAATCCCGGCCCGAGATTCGCCACTGTAGCCGGCGCGAACGCCGTCACCTCCTGCCGCGCTACGGCCGGCGGCGCGTCCAGCAGCGCCTCCAGGAATTCCGGCGCAGATGCCGCTGACGCGGTGATCGCGGGGCGAGAGGCGCGGACGTGGGACTGCCAAAATAAGGGTTAAGGCGGAAACGTCGGGAAGGAGGAACGGAAAGACGGGATGGGGGCGGGGAGGGGAGGGGGGGGGGGGAAGGGGTGGGGGGAGAGCGGGGGGGGGGGTGGGGGGGGGAGAAGGGAAGGGAGGGGGAAAATGTGGAGAGGGCAATGTCGGTTTGTGGATATGATCTGTTTCACATTAGTGAGTTACAGGAGAATCATAACGAGTACCAAAAGGTAGACATTGTGCTTGGCGACCTGTGCAGCCTTCTTCGTACCTTCGTTCTCCGCTGCGCGGGCTTGGCGCGCAGAGAAAGGGGTGGGCGGGGGAGCAGCGCTGACGGCGCGCAGCTGGTCAGCGCGCACGGGCGCGAAATATCGCCATTCGGCGAAAATGCGGTGGCTGACGGCGCGGAAGAGGCGCAGGGTAGGCTGACGGCGATAGAAGCCATCGCCGCGAGAGACGGTGCGGATTAATCGACGTGACGCGCACGTGTTAGCCAACGACACTTACGCTGGAGTGCGGATTCTCGGGTTCAGGCGGAGCAGCACGGAATGGGAGTTAATGCTTGGGTTTTTGTTCAGAGTTCCTCCATGATAAGACAAACATTGTAAGCGACAACGTTGTCATGGTTTCGAGATGTGATTCATATAGAGCTGTACTTGTAGCGAGTACCGCACTTGAGCCACCTGTGGCTGGTTGTTCCACATGGCAGCTGGAAATTCAACCACGTGGAAACATTATGCTGATTAGGCAAGTTCGGATTTTCTCCGCGACATGCGGAGCGCATCGCCTAGAAACTTGGCCTTCCAGGGACAGGGGAGCCACATCCCCCCCATCTCCCCGAAATGAGGGGAACGCGCAACTCTGCTCCGCAAAACTCAAATTTCCAGCCAGCTGCGCAAAGCTGCTGGGCAAAACAAATTCCCCCCAACACCCTCCTGCTTCCCTTTTTTCCCCGACCAGTACAGTAATTCGCGCCGCTTGGCTACGGATCCACTAATTCGTGCCGCATCTACTAGATACTTCCCAGCTCATCGTGCCGCAACTGTTTCCTGCAGTTTCGTGAGAATTATAATCTGTTCAACAGGAAGCGTTTGACTCTTGGCCAGGGAGTTCGAAACCTAAGTCGTGTCTGATATTATTTTCCTGATCTTAGTTTCCTCATGGCCATGTCTACGTCGGTCGCGTCGTGGCACGGGCCAGCCACAGCCACAGCGGGGCTCATCCCCCGCGCATCGTCCGCACCAACTTCCAAACTGCGCCTAGTTTCCGTCACAGGCGCAGCATCTACAGCCGCATGCCTCCCCGTTCCCCGCCAGCGCGCAGCTTTCCTTCCCCGGCCGTCCCTATCCTCGCGCCTCCTCTCCTCCGCTTCCGCTTTCTCCCCCTCTCTCCCCGCGCTCTCCGCTCAATCCTCCCCGCACCACCAACCCCACCTTCCGCCGCGCCCGCCTGGCGCACTGCGCGTGCGCGCGCGGGGGGGAGGGGGCGGGGGAAGCGTACCCGTCCCGGACCGAATTATCTCCTCCGCCGTCTACTTCCTCCCGCTGCTGGACGGCGCACGCTACGCGCGCTTCCTCTATGCGCAATACCCGTTCACGCGCGTGCTCCTCGACCCGATAATCCCGCTGGTCCAAGCCTACAACTCCTTCCCGTACGCCGGACTCGTCCTCTTCTTCCTCCTCTATCTCGCCGTCATCCGAAACCCTAACTTCGACCGCTACGTGCGGTACAACGCGATGCAGGCGGTGATCCTGGACATCCTCATGATCCTGCCGTCGCTGCTCGAGCGCCTCTTCGCCGGCAACGACGGCATCTCGCTGCAGCTGACGATCATCTTCTACAACACCGTGTTTCTGTACCTCTTCGCCTGCTTCGTCTTCGGCGTCGTTTCGTGCCTCCTAGGGAAGACCCCCCGCCTGCCCATCGTCGCGGAAGCGGCAGACGCGCAAGTGCCGTTCTGAGGGGGGAGGGGGAAGGGTGGAGGGGAAGGAAGGGGGGAGGGGGAAGGGTGGAGGGGAAGGAAGGGGGGAGGGGGGGGGGGGGGGAGGCGTGCAGAGGAGCCACAGGGGGGTCGATCCGACGGCGTCTCGCTGCAGCTGACGATCATCTTGTACGACACCGTCTTCCTCTACCTCTTCGCCTGCTTCGTGTTTGGCGTCGTGTCCTGCCTGCTGGGGAAAACCCCCCGCCTGCCCA